TTGTACCCCTTTCCTTACTTCCAAATTGTCTATTTCCTTCTTTTTGGGTCTATCTGTTCTTCTCCTCCACTCCCATCTCCCCTCTCTCTTCTCTTCGCGTTCCCTGCCATGGCCTCCCCCACTTTCTCTCTCTTCTCTCTCTCTTCTCCTCTCTCTCTCCTCTCTCTCTCTCTCTCTCTCTCTCTCTCTCTCTCCTACCCTTCCCTCCCTCCTTCTCTCTCTCCTCTCCCTCCTCCTTCCCTCCCTCCTTCCCTCCTTCCCCTCTCCCTCCCATCGACTTCCTCCTCTCCCCTCTCCTATCGCCTCGCTTTTTCTCTCTTCATTTCCCTCACCCCATTTCTACCCTCCCTCCCTCCCTCCTTACCTCCTCCCTCCTTGCCCCCCCCCCTTCCCTTTCTCTTTGCCACCCTCCCGCCCTAACTATTGACAGCGTTGGTAAGTCTCCGCTGAAACCAGATCCTTCAGCCATTAATTGAGCTAATCGAAATAAAAAATTTAAAGAAGAAAAAAAAACATGCTCAATTTTTTTTTTTTTTTTCGGGTCTGTATGATGGCTTCTTTCAGTTAGTAAATTGCTCCTGATTTCTTGAATTAGAAATGAAAAAAGATTGAAAGGGAAGGAGTAAAAGCTTTTTATATATTTTTTTTTAAGTACTTTTTTTCCTTTTCTTATTGTGTGCGTGTGTGCTTTATTGTTCAGACTGTAGATGTACTTTACTCTATCAATTACCCACATGTTAAGTTTTAATTTGTTTATTTCTAGAACACTTCGCTTCAAATGATATACTTATCAATCTAAACCGGGTATAAAAAAGACGTTCAATTTTCCGGCCCATTTGTTCGAGGAAGATGTATATTGGAAACAGGGCAGCCGGATTTCAGAGGGAGTGGGTCGTGAAAATAGACCGTCTATCGATCTGAAGGAATTTCATATTTGATTTTTTCTTTTTTTTCTTTCTTTTTGCATTTTTTATTCCTTTTTTTTTCTTTTTTTGCTTTTTTATTACTTAAATTTATATTTAGTGTTTATTATGCGATTGTGGAGTGGTTGTGAATAAAAAAAAAAAATTCTCTTTCTTTTTTTGTCACTATAATTATATATAGTGTATATCATTCGATCGTGGAGAAAAGTTCTGAATAACGATTTTGAATAATGAAATAGAGTGAAAATTAGAGCCAAAAAAATTAGGGATATTCACTTCGCGCAAGGAAATGTAATTATGCATAATCCCCCCCAACAAGTTTTCCAACAAGGAAACTCCGTAATTATATTCACCCGGGCGATATTAATCCCTCGAACGAATAAATAAAGAACTCTATTCTCATCTCTTTAATAGCGAAAAATAATCGAAAATCTACACTTTGAACGAAAAAAATCTGGAACGCAAGCACGCGGAAAACACACGCGACTGCCCTGTCAAGGAAGCACACCCGCCGGCGCAAACACAATACACAAACACTTGTCAAAATGCATGTATTCCTCACGCACACAAGCTCCAAGCACTTTCGCAAACTCATTAAACTTTAGGTCGATTATACGAAGCCTTCAGGTCATGCCGAAGTGAAGGGGGGGGATAGAGAGGGAGGGAGGGAGAAAGAGAGAAAGAGAGAGAGAGAGAAAGAGGGAGGGGGGAGGAAAAGAGAGAGAGAGAGAGGAGGGAGAGAGAGAGAGAGAGAGGAGGGAGAAAAGAGAGAGAGAGAGAGAGGGAGGGAGGGAGGAAGGAGAAAGAGAGAGAGAGGGAGGAGGGAGAAAAGAGAGAGAGAGAGGGAGAGAAAGAGGAAGAAACGGAAAATAATAAGAAAAAAAAAAACTTTTTGCATGATACTGTTCTTCAGTAAACATTAAGTTCAAAGGTCTTTTTTTTTGGCTTGCTTGCTTGCTTGGTGAATCTCCATGTCAAGGTTATTATTATTGTCCTGTCTCCTTCTTGAAAAAAAAGTCTTCATTTAGGATGAAAGGAAACAGGCTGTTTAAGCGAGGAAGAGAAAGTAAGCAAGAAGGAAAAAAGATGGAGGAGGAGGAAGAGAAACAGGAGGAGAAGGAGGAAGGTGGAAGTGGAAGTGGAGGACGAGTAGGAGGAGTGAAGGGAAGGAGGAGAAAGAGGAAGGGGAGGAGGGAAGAAGAAGGAGGAAGTTAGGAGTAGGGAGAGATTAAAAGAGAAGGACACTGAATAATAATGACAGTGATAAGAACAATAATAAGAAAAGTATGGGGGAGAAGAGGAAGTGAAAGAGGGTGGAGAGGGATAACAAAGGTTGAAGAAATTAATAATAATGATAAGTATAAGTATGAATGGTAATGATAATAATGATAACAATAATGATAATACTTAAAACAATCATAATAATCATAATGATAATAATAACAGGTCAGCTACCACTACTAATGATTATAATGTAACTTACCTTCTCCAGTTTACCTTTACCTTCTTATTACTACTAATAATAATTATGTCATTTACCTTCCCAGCTAAGTTGCATTAACCGATCAATCTCACCTAATCCGGTCGATTGCAGGTCCGGCCTCACATGGGACTGACCTTCGACAACATCTTGTCTCACATCAACACCATCTACGTCTTGAGAACCAGGGAAGCACTCATCACGACCCGTGGCGACAACCGCGACTTAGGCTCCGACCAGGGCTGCCTCAGACTCAAGGTACGTACGCATTCGGACGAGTGGGCGGGGGAAAGAAGGGGAGAGGGGGATGGGGAAGGGAGGGGGGTCTTCTTTCGTCCGACTAGATTTTGACTTTTTTTTTAGAGGGTTTAAAGTATATGTTTAATGGAGTCTCGAGGGGGAACGTCTGGGCTTTTAGAGTGATAGCGGGGAATTCGAGAAGTTCCCGCCATTTTGGAATCCGGGACGGAAGAATGGATTTAAATTAAGGGAAGAGCTGAAGCGGTCCTCTTCACTTGGTGTATGTAAATGCACACACACACACACACACACACACACACACACACACACACACACACACACACACACACACACACACACACACACACACACACACACACACACACACACACACACACACACACTACCCCTCCCCTGACCCCCGCCTCCGCCTCCTCAGGGCCAGATGATCTACCTTCCGGAGACGGAGCTGATGCTGTACGTGTGCTCGCCCTCTGTTCTCAACCTCGACGACCTCTACCGCAAGGGCCTCTATCTCTCGGACATCCCTCTCCACGACGCCACTCGAGACCTCGTCCTCCTCAGCGAGAAGTTCGAGGCCGAGTACAACCTCACGACGAATTTGGAGATTTTGACCGATAAGCTTCAACACACTTACCGCGAGCTGGAGAGCGAACGACAGAAAACGGATAAGTATGTCGGGGTGACTTAGATATATGAAGCAATTTTTTTTCTTTTCTTTTCTTTTTTGTCATGTGGGATATTATTTCTCGGTTTATATTAGATAAATAGAAAGAAAGTTTTAAATTGTATTGGTACTAACAGAACGACAGAAAACGGATAAGTATGTCGGGGTGACTTAGATATTTTTATTTTTTTTCTTTTCTTTTTCTTTTCTTTTTGTTTTTTTGTGACGTGGGATGTTATTTCTGGGTTTTATATCAAATAAATAGTAACAGGGTTTAAATCGTAAGGGTAATACGCTAGTAAAAACATTGTACTTTGATCTTTTTCATATTATTTCCATGAAGGAATCGTTTACAGGACAATGTAAAAAGAAAGTAAATACTAATTCATGCAATTAAAACTGCTTTTCTTTCTTCCAAATCTAAAGGCTCTTGTACTCAGTCCTGCCCATCAGTATTGCCAACGAGCTCCGACACAAGCGCCCTGTTCTCCCTCGCAGATATGAGGTGGTAACACTGCTCTTTTCAGGTGAGAATATTTCTTTGCAAACTGTAATTGGTGTAATTAAAATCATCTGAGGATTACAGATGAATAGACATAGATCAGGAGCATGGCATAGAATCTCTCTCTCTCTCTCTCTCTCTCTCTCTCTCTCTCTCTCTCTCTCTCTCTCTCTCTCTCTCTCTCTCTCTCTCTCTCTCTCTCTCTCTCTCTCTCTCTCTCTCTCTTTTTTTTCTCTTTTTGAATATGTAGCCTGTGTGAATATATGAATATCAGGTTAGATGGTTTAATAAAAAGAAGTGATTTTGATATCATCCCACCTGTTTTTGTGTCTAGGAAGAAGATTCACGAAAATCGACCTTATTTGTGTCTCAATTCAGTTACAGTTAATGATATTCACAGAATATGATCTAATGGCAATTCCTTTCATTAGATGATGATTGTAAAACGAAAATGCATTCATTCACACTTTTAATTTCTCTTTCGAAATCTTGTCTTTTCTCAATAATGCGTAGATCTAGAGTTTTTTTTCATAGTGCTAATATAAACGCACTTGATTAGATCAGCAGTTTTAATTGAGACTTTTAAAGATGCTCTTTGTTCGTGTGTTTGTTTACTTTGGGCGTTGTTTGCCTTCTCCTTTCTTGCTCTTGTTCCTAATTGCTGATTGGCTTGTTTAGGCGCGCTCTTGTTTGTTGCTGTGTTTGTTTACTTTCTTCTCAGTAGTAGACATGAGTATCTTTTTTTTTCTTTTTTTTCTTTCTCTCCGGCTGGAAAGTTCTATACTCAGCTCTCTTTCTCTATCTATTTATCTTTTTATCTATCTTTCTCTTTCTCTCTTTCTCTTTCTCTCTCTCTCTCTCTCTCTCTCTCTCTCTCTCTCTCTCTCTCTCTCTCTTCTCTCTCTCTCTCTCTCTCTCTCTCTCTCTCTCTCTCTCTCTCTCTCTCACTCTCACTCTCCCTTGGTCTCAGGTTTATTTTTCTTTCTCTTGCTCCAACATTCTTCTCCTCCTTCCCACATGTTCCTAATCCTTTTCCAGTCGCCAATCGCTCTCGTTTCATCTTAGGTTTATTCTTCCTTCACTTCCTCTCTTCCTTATCAATTTACAATCCTTTTCCAGTCACCAATCGCTCTCTTTTCATCTTAGGTTTTATTCCTCCTCCTCTTCCTCTCTTCCTCATCAAGTCCCCAATCCTTTTCTAATAACCAATCGCTCTCTTTTAAGCCCAGGTTTATTCTTCCTCCTCTTCCTCTCCTCCTCATCAAGTCCCCAATCCTTTTCCAATCACCAACCTCACAGATTTATTCCTCCTCCTCCTCTTCCTCTCTTTTTTATCAAGTTCCCAATCCTTTTCTAATCCCCAGTCGCTCAGGTTTATTCCTCCTCCTCCTCTTCCTCTCTTCCTCATCAAAACCCCAATCCTCTTCCAATCACTAATCGCTTAGTTTTATTCCTTCTCCTCTTCCTCTCTTCCTTATGAAGTCCCCAATCCTTTTCCAGGTTTATTCCTCCTCCTTTCTTATCAATTTCCAATCATTTTCCAGGTTTATTCCTCCCCCTTTCTTATTAATTTCCAATCCTTTTCCAATCACTAATCGCTCTCTCTCTCGGCCGCAGGGATCGTCGGCTTCTCAGACTACTGCTCGAGACACACGGACATCGCGGGCGCCTCCAAGATCGTCAAGATGCTCAATGACCTCTACACGGCCTTCGACTGCCTCACGGACGAGAAGAAAAACCCGAACGTGTATAAGGTCGGGTGTTTTTTTTTTTTTTTTTTTTTTTATTCTCTCTGTCCTGTCTCTGTCTCTTCTTGCTCTTTTTTCTCTTTTTTCTCTTTTTCTCTTTTTCTCTCTTTCTCTTTCTCTCTTTCTCTCTCTTCTCTTTCTTCTTTCTCTCTTTCTCTCTTTCTCTCTCTCTTCTTTCTCTTTTCTCTTTCTCTTTCTCTTTCTCTTTCTCTCTCCTCTCTCTCTTCTCTCTCTCTCTCTTCTCTCTCTCTCTCTCTCCTCTCTCTCTCTCTCTCTCTCTCTCTCTCTCTCTCTCTCTCTCTCTCTCGCTTTCTCTCTCTCTCTCTCTCTCTCTCTCTCTCTCTCTCTCTCTCTCTCTCTCTCTCTCTTCTCTCTCTCTCTCTCTCTCTCTCTCTCTCTCTCATGTATAAGGTCGGTTGGGTTCTATTTTCTTCTTCTTCTTCTTCTTGCTTTCTCTCTTATTTGTGGCTTTTGATTTGGCCTAATTCTCTCTTTCTCTTCTTTGACCATTGATATTATTGGATTTGAATTTGAAAGTCAAGGCCTTTTTTTATTATTATCTACATCATTTTGAAAATGATGTAGATCCATGGATATATGAATGATTTGATATGTGTAGATACATACATGCATGAATATATTAGATGAAAAGATAGATTGATTGATGATAATGTGTGTGTTTGTGTGTTTCGTGCGCGTGTTTGTGTGTGTGTGTGTGTGTGTGTGTGTGTGTGTGTGTGTGGTGTGTGTGTGTGTGTGTGTGTGTGTGTGTTGTATGTGTACGTGTAAGTGTGGTGTGCCTGTGTGTTTATGTGTACGTGTAAGTGTGTGTGTGCGTGTGCACGTGCGTGTGTCTGTGTGTATATGTGCACCGTGTAAGTGTGTGTGTGCGAGTGCGTGTGCGTGTCTATACCTGTGCCTGTGTGTTTATCCGTATACCTTCTCAACCCCATCTTACCCAACCCCACAACCCTCCCCACCTCAACCCCCCCCCACCCCCACTACCCCCATCACCCCAACCCCAACCCCATCCCCCATCACCCCAACCCCCACCCCTCCTCCAAACCCCACCTCCACCACCCCCACCCCCAACCCCACCATCATCCCATCCCCTTCCCCCACCCCCATCGCCCCAACCCCAACCCCAATCCCATCACCCCCTTCCCCAACCCCATCCCCAACCCCCCCAACCCCAACCCCCCCACTTAACCGACCCATTTTCTGTCCCTAACCGCAGGTGGAGACCGTAGGAGACAAGTACATGGCGGTGAGCGGCCTCCCCGAGACGTGCGACCACCACGCCCGCTGCATCTGCAACCTCGCCCTCGACATGATGGACAAGGCCGAGGGCGTCATCGTGGACGGGCAGAAAGTGGTGGGCGGAGGGTTTTATTGTTTTATTTTGTTGTTGTTGTTGTTGTTGTTTTTTTTTATTCTCTTTTTTTCTTTTGTTTTGATTGTTTTTTTCTCTTTTTCTTTCTGTTCTTTTTTTTTTTTCTTTCTTTCTTTCTTTCTTTCTTCCATTCTTTTTCTCTTTCTCTCTATTCATTTAATTTATTGTATTTTCTTTCTTTTTCTTTCTTTTTTTTCTTTCTTTTCTTTTCCAATTCTTTCGTCCTTTTGATGGGGGCGTTGTGTTGAGTTGTGTTTCCTTTTCTTCTTCTTCTTCTTCTTCTTCTTCTTCTTCTTCTTCTTCTTCTTCTTCTTCTTCTCTTCTTCTTCTTCTTCTTTTCTTAATCATCATCTTCTTTTTCTTCATTTTCATCCTATATTATTACTATTATTATTATTGTTTTATATTATTATTATTATTATTATTATTATTATATTATTTTCATTATTATCTTCATCATCATCATCTTCTTCTTCATCTTCTTTCCTCTTCGTCATCATCATGTTCTTCTTCATCTTCATCATCTACTTCTTTTCCTTCATCTTCATCTTCATCTTATTATCATTATCATTATTATTGTTATTATTATTCCTCATCATAATCTTATTCTTATTCTTCGTCTTCTTCTTCCTCTTCATCATCATCATATTATTATTATTATTGTTATTATAGTTATTCTTATTATTATTATTATTATCGGTAGCGCATGTACATAACTGAAATTAGACAAGGAAAATAATAATAATAATAAATAAATAAATAAAACACAATTTTTCAATCACAAATTACACAATTAAGATTAGATTTTTTAAAAAAATAGCAAATTCAAACGACTCAAATTCCTAAAACTCCTCCCCCCCTCCCCCTTCCCCCCCCCCCGCCCTTCGCCCCGCCCATCGCCCTTCGCCCCGCCCCCGCCCTCGCCCTTCGCTCCGCCCCCCGACCCTCGCCCTTCGCTCCGCCCCCTTCGCCCCGCCCCCCCTTCACCCCGCCCCCGCCTTTCGTCCCCCCCCCCCACGACAGCGCATCACGATCGGCATCCACTCCGGCGAGGCGGTGACGGGCGTGATCGGCCAGAGGATGCCTCGCTACTGCCTCTTTGGCAACACTGTCAACATCACCTCGAGGACGGAGACGACGGGAGAGAAGGGAAGGATAAACGTGTCGGAAGTGGCTTATAAGTGAGTTTTTTGAGGGTTTTTTTGTGTGTTGTTTTTGTTTTTCTTTTCTTTTGTGTTGTTGATCTTTCTTTCTTTCTTCCTGGAGCTTCTTTCTTTCTTTCTGTTGATTCTCTCTCTCTTAAAATAAAACGATGTAAAATGTCAATTTGTATTCTCAATTTTTGGAGGTGAAACAGTTTACTTTTTTTGTTGGTTTATTTATTTATTTTCCACTTACGTGATCTCCGGTTTTTATTCAGCTATTTTTTTCTGAATTTCCAAATGTCTTTTGCTCTTATTTTTTTTTATATTGCTTCTTTATTTTATTTTGTTTTTTCGCCGAAGTACCATAAGACACTTTTAAAGTTTAACATCTCATTTTCCTTTTATCTCCTTTTTTCATATCACACTTTCATTGTTGGTCATATCTTCTCATTCACTTCACTATATTCCCTTCCTCCTCATCTTTATTCCCCGCCTTTATCCAGTCATGTTCGTCAGATACCTCCAAGAACCCCAGAACATATCCAGTCAGTTCTCATTGTTCTCTCTCTCCCTCTCTTCTCTTTCGCAGATACCTCCAAGAACCCCAGAACTACGACGCGAAATTCGTGTTCACCTACCGGGGTCCCGTGCCGATGAAGGGCCGCAAGGAACCCATGCAGGTGTGGTTCCTCAACAGGAGAAGACCCGGGGCGGACGCAGGAGCTCAGCAGTAGAGATTTTTAGTTTTAGGTCTAGAGCTTAATGGAGCTTGAACTTGGCTAGTTTTTGGAGATGAGAGAAAGTGCGGGAATCTCCCAAAACGGAGGAAGAGAGTGAGAGAGAGAGAGAGAGAGAGAGAGAGAGAGAGAGAGAGAGAGAGAGAGAATGTATATAATTAATGTAAAAAAAAATTACTTATTTATTGTATGTGATTATGAAGATAAAATATATATAATAGTGAGATTTTAAATGGATAAAAGAAGTGTGACAAACAGCTGGTGATATATAGGAAAAAGCGAATTTAACAAATTATAAAACGTAGCAGTATATCTTTGTTCCATTATTCTGAGATGTTACACACACACACGCAGAGAGAGAGAGAGAGAGAGAGAGAGAGAGAGAGAGAGAGAGAGAGAGAGAGAGAGAGAAAGAGAGAGAGAGAGAGAGAGAGAGAGAGACATCCTCGAGAGCACAACAACTTGTAACACTAGTCTCAATGCACTTGGGCAACCTATGCACTCACAGGTAGCCCATGTGGTTGTCCTTTACCTATTTCTAGTTCCAGTATGCTGCGCCATATTAGGTCTACGAGTCCAGTTACTAATGGTTTATTAATTTTACATTATATAAAAAAAATGTATATATATGATTCACCAAAGAGTACAGGGCCAATTGCAGGTGCGGTTAATTCAGCTACAGATAGTCAAAGAAAGTTTTTTTTTTCTCTCTACGGGAACCTTCGTCACGTTTCGGCTGCTATTGAACACTTAATTATCAACTCACTCATGGCTGCGCTATGCTCCGATTAGGGTCAATCCAACTAGCCAGAAAGGAAATCTAATGGGGAAATTCAGAAAAAATAACAAGATATCAAAGGACGAAATGAGCTGAATTCAAAGTCTTGCTGGAAGGTCTGGATTCCACTGCAACAGTTATAACACGATGTGAACAGATTAAACTTCTTATCAACAAATTCAGATTTCTTTGTTCATTTTTTTACATATCGAGATCATAGTTTGGTAAAAGCTCATATGCGTTCATGTATGTGTATGCTTATGTGTGTGTGGATGTATATGTACAGTATGTATAAGTGTAAACGAAGGTAACAATGTAAGTACTGGTGCATGTGAACTAGAGCTACTGTGACTACATATTAGCATACGTGTGTATATGGGAGTATTCACAGTAATAACACATTTGCAAAAATCAGCAGCACTCATTTAAAATCATTTCATTTATGGTAATTATAACTCGTATTTTGGTCCATCGCTGTTAGAGCTTTTAATATTTATAATTTCAAATGCATTTCCCTTTTTTAATCAACTAAAAGGGATATTAAAGTAAGCATCGGAAAGGTAATTAAAGCAACTTCTAGCAAGAGATTGGCAGCGGACTACTACACGAACCATCATAATTCGCCGACGCAGAATAGGTATTGTTAAAGCAAAGTAGTGAAACAATGAAATACACTCAACAAAAATATATATATGCTACAGCGTGTTGTTTTGGCGAGTCCCAACCTGCCTTCCCTGTGTCTCAGGGCTGCCCAGTTTCCGCAGGCATTACCGCCATTTTCTTTAGAGGAAAAGTAAAATAGAAATGTTTGTCTAGAGAATACCTTTCTAAGTCAGTGAATCTTTCCCATTTTCGTGTTTTCATTCATACAGAAAAAAATGAATATTACGAAATCCTGGACCTACCTTTCTACGAAAGTAGACAGATAAAATATTTAGAAAGATTATAATGAAACAAAAAAGGCGAGCCGAGTTTTTCTCACCAAGGATTCGAACAAGTGTCGTGAAAAGGCTTCAAACCGGCCTATTCGCACAACATTCTGGTGCACATTTTTTACTTGTTTTTTTCTAGGTCATTATGTATAAGTTGGCAATTAGGGACTGAAAACGGAATACCTACACATTTTCCCCACGGATCAAAAATAGATTTCTGTAAATTATGACAGATACGGAAATATGACGTCACTGTTTACCACCGACGTCACAAAGCTGGTCTTGTCAGGTTGGCAGGCTTCCTCAGGTGCGCATTTTAGGAGAACCGTGAATGGCATACCTGCGCAGACGGATATACCTTCTTTTTCGATGTTAAAATGTCTCACAATGTAATTTTCAAACGATCTTAGAATGCGATAACCACGTTAAGGACGTTACATTCTGCGCAGATCCTCAACGGGAGGTTCACTTGCCTTATGCCGCCCTGTTGCCTTCCGCCAGTACATGTTCATTTACAGCTGTAAGATTTTTGAATAAAAAAACACTGATGATGATTGATGGTGGAGAGTAACAACTCCTTTCATGGGATCTCAATTCAATGCTTGTATGCTGTTATTACATGCATATGACAATATCATCATAGCATAATGAAAACTAAATATAAATTACTGGCATACACAGAATATCACAAGTTTTATTTTTCAGTAGTGTGTGTGTGTGTGTGTGTGTGTGTGTGTGTGTGTGTGTGTGTGTTGTGTGTGTGTGTGCGTGCGTGCGTGCGTGCGTGCGTGCGTGCGTGCGTGCGTGCGTGTGTGTGTGTTGCGTCTGCTCGCGTGCGTGTGAAAATAAACAACAAAAAGAGAATAAATATACCCGTTGTGATGAACAATATTGCACATGCCTACATCGTACATCTGGAGAACCACACATTAAGCTACACCAGACTTTTGAATGACTCTGTAAAGATTCCATAATAAGATTACTGATAAAGTTTCCACGATGCCAAAGAATATTTTGAACTTAAATGTACTTAGCAGAGCATGGATGATAGTAGAGTATAGGTGCTCTGAATATATTTTTGTGTGACGATGTATAGATGTTTTTTTTTGAATAAAGAATCTATAATGCTGAAAAATATGCTTAGAATAATGTAATATATGTATTGGTAAAGCAAATAAACTGACAATTTGTTTGCCAAAGAAATGCTATATATCACAATGCTTTTCATTACCTGGTTTTGTCGTATTTATTTCTTAGTCGTTATGCTGATGCAGAATCAACATATCTCAACATACTAAAAATGAATAAATAAGTAAATAAAATACAAAAAATAAATAAAAGTCATATGGTACCCCCATTGAGTTCATACTTTTGGTGAAAATTTGTTCAATATATGGATTTCATTGATTCTGTCACGAATTAGATATGATACACGGCAGATATTTTATGAATATATAAAAAATTATAGAACGCAGATTAGAAGACATTTGAAGCCGACGAATTTTAACAAGGTAAACAGTCCACGATTTCTGTTATAAAAAAAAAGACTCCTCAAAAGTGATTAGATTTCTGTTATAAAAAAAGAACTACTGAAAAGTGATGAGATTTCTGTTATGAAAAGACCTGAAAAGTTATTAGATTTCTGTTATAAAAAAAACTCCTCGAAAGTAATTAGATCTCTGTTATAATAAGACTCTAGGAAAAGTACTTAGAAAAAAATAGCAACAACAAAAAATCATACAAAAATAAACCAAAAAGGTTCACCAGGTAAGTTTTCTAGAACAGTTCTCAAATTCACATCTTAAAGAAGTAAAAGGGGGAAGAAAAAATAACCCTTTTTTGCCACTGGAAAACGAGCAAATTTCTTCTATATAAACAATCAATCTCTTCTTTATCCTGTGTTATAAAGTTAGTCCGGCAGAATGTGAATAATGACATCCTAACATTAGTTTAAGGTGTTATTTGAAGTGACTCGAAACCGGAATGATGGAAAATAAATCAGATAATCGAATGTAAAGAGAGATGTTAAAAAGGTGACCGGAGTAATAGGTAAGTTTGGAGTGAAGAGAGTGAGAGTGAGAGAGTGAGAGAGAGAGAGAGAGAGAGAGAGAGAGAGAGAGGACAGAGAGACAGACAGAAACAGACAGACAGACAGACAGAGACAGAGACAGAGAGAGAATGAGGGGGAAAGAGATAAAAAGAAGATAGAGAGAAGGAGAGGGAGAGAGAGAGAGAGAGAGGGAGGGAGAGAATGAGGGGGGAAAGAGAGAGAGAGAAAGTAAGGGGGAAAGAGAGAAGGGAAGATAGAGAAAGAGGAGATAGAGAGGAGTGAAGAAGGAAAAAAGTGTAGTAAACATAAGGTTCACGATAATGGTAAAACTGAGCACTTTAAGATAAAGATATCGTAATAATCGTCTTTCTCTGTTATTTTTCTCCCTCCTTCTCGCTTTGCTTGTCTATCAGTTTATCAGTCCGTCTATTTGTCTGTATGTGTCTACATGTCTGTCTATCTCTATTTCTTTCTCTCTCTCTCTTACACACACACACACACACACACACACACACACACACACACACACACACACACACACACACACACACACACACACACACACACACACACACACACACACACACACACACACACACACACACACACACACACACACACACACACACACACACACACACACACACACACACACACACACACACACACACACAGACACTCGTCACGTATGGTTCACGTCTGGTAAAGAATAGCACTTATTGTGTTAGCGCTATAAGATTTTTAGAAGCATGCAATTGTATTGTGCTTAGTTATTCCCCCTTAAGTCTTAGTCACTCAAAAGGGCTCGTAAAGATTTCACATTTTCCGAGTAAATACGAAAGTAAAATTCAGGAAAATAGATCTAAGTAAGGAAAGGGATTACAATTCATTTCAACATTATTTTTCACATTTTTTTTATGAAAAAGAGACACGCAAAATGATTTTCTTTCATATGTAATCCTTCACAAGTGTGTTTCATCTACTTTACCGCATAGAATGCCAGAGAGATCTGTAATTGTGGTTTTACGTCTGCATTTGCGTGTGTGCATGTGCGTGTGTGTGCGTGTGCGTGTGCGTGCGTGTGCGTCTGTGTGCGCGTGTGTGTGTATGTGTGTGTGTGTGGAGAGAGAGAGAGAGAGAGAGAGAGAGTATAAAGGTACAATACATGCAATACCTACTTCCCACGTGTGTCCACATCTAGACCTCGTGGTGTGGCAGGGGCGCCATGTGCGTGCCCTACGCTCACGGCCCCTCGCTTCACCCACGCCTGTTTGCGCCCCTAGCGCCCCCTCTGACCGGATAAAAGGGAGGCCAATCTTGACCCAGTCTCACACCTTCAGCGAACTTCTCTGTGACTGCTTCTGACCTGAGTTGCCCTCCCGGCCTCTGGCCGAGAATTCCACACAGCGCCGTTCTTCGTGTATCGTTATTCTTAGTAACTCTTAGAAATAAAGAGAACAGCCACACCGGGTATCACTGACACCTCCTTGTACTTCAAAGAACAGTATAAAATAAGAGCTCTTAGAAACTCTCACAGAGAGAGAGAGAGAGAAAGAAAGAAAAGAGAGAGAGAGAGAGGGGGGGGGAAGAAAGAAAGAGAGAGAGGGAAAAAAGGAGAGAGAGAGAGAAAGGGGGGGGGGATAAAGAGAGAGGGGGGATGGAGAGAGAGAGAGAGGAAGAGCGAATAAGAGGTAGAGACAGTAAGAGAGAGAGTGAGAGAGAGTATGAGCGATAGAGAGAGGGGGAAGGGGTCGACATGGTAGAACAATCCACCTATATAAACTTCATGGGGGAGGTCATGTCTACGGAAGCTAATATTGGCAAGGACAATATTGACAATATTGGCTTCTGGAAGGAATAGTGTAACACTGTACTGCCACTGCATCATAATCAGCATGGCAGGTAAATAAGTCATTTTCTCAGTCTGACCAGTACTTGCTGTAGATGGGATAAGCATTTGGGGGGATAGAAACAGTTCCAGTACAAGTATTAACTGAAGAGTGGGGTTCGGCTGGAATGGGTTTGCCAGTGAGATCATTTAGGGTAGATAGTGCACAAGCTTGGGATTCAGATGTTACTGTGACAATGCGTGAACGATCGGAGCGACTGCGAAAGGTAACCTTGCCTACTTGTTTTTGGAGGCACTGTTCAAAGAGAAGTATTCTCAGAATAGGGGGCTGTGGGGGGGGGGGTCACAAAGAATCGATCCCACTTGTCTGGGCCAGAGAGAGTACCCAAAAGGTTTGCAGAGATAGAGGCAGTAGAAGGACGAGAGCGAGAGGAAGATGGAGTGGAGTATTTCTATGAGGGGGCGGACAATAAGGATAAAGAGTAGTAATAAGGGAAGTGGGGGTAGACATTGAAGAGGACTGCAGTAGATGGTGAGGAGAATGTTGGGAGAGACGAAGGGGTGTTTTCTGGAGGTTGACTAATAACCTGGGTGGGTATTTTGGAATGGATCGACTTGTCAGTAGGCGGTAGGGGGTATTAGTATCAGTGGTCAAAGGAGAGAAAGGTATTAAGGGTAATATTATATAATATTAATATAATATTTTTATATAATATTATATATTATATTAATATATATTATATATTATATACTATATATTATAATATTATATATATGTAATATTATATAATATAATATTAAGGGTAAAGAATCTTCATCAATGGTCATGGTGAGCCTGAATAAAATGGGGAAAAGAAACGGTCTACTCCTTTGGGTCCCCATATGGGGTAAGGGCTACGCAATTAACCAGGGGAATGCCAAACCCTTGGCTCTCAGAGGCCATTCATGACTGACACAAAGCCAGCCTTTCATCCTTTCAGCACGACTATCACCCCTTTAGGAATGAGATAGAAGAAGGGGATGAAGATACTGAAGGGAAAAAGAAAGAAAAGACCAGGCAAAATTAGCTGTGGGCTAAGTAGAGGTGATCCCCTACATTGGGCCTCAGTCTCCGTCTCCTATGCCCTCCCACGACAACAATGACCAAGGTATTGGGAGGGCTCGCCTCCTAAGTCCCCCCACCACAACAACGGGCAAGGGATTGGGGAGTATTGAAAATAAGAATACAGCAATTTTCCTAATATATTTCTTCTTATTTTTCCATGAATTTGGTAGATAAATTCACAGCAGTTCTCCATTATAGTAAATTTGATTTTAGGGCTCCATTTATAATGTTTAATGTTTGAAACAAATAAATGTGCTAGACATCATAGGTCATATAGCACTATGGTAAAGTATTGTGCCTGAAAAGAAAAGGAGAGTTAAAGATTATTATAAAATGTGTTAGATGTCAAAGGTTTGAGAGCATTATAGGATAGCACGGTAGTGAAAAGGGGGAGCAAGTGAACTAAAGGAGAAATTAGTTGAAAGGGGAGGGTTAAGGAGGTACGGCGATTGAGTGAATTATAATGTCTTTGTCACTGGGAAAGATATAGGATAAATGTTCAAGGAAGAATAGAGATAGTAGGAAAATTATCAGGGGAGAGGGGAAGGTGCTAGATGTCAAAGATTAGAGGGTGTTATAGGAAAGTATGCTAATGAAAAGGGAAAGGAGGAAAAGAAATGAAGTAGAGCAGAGATTAGTAAAATGGGAAAGGTTAAGGAGGTGGAGCGATTGAGTGAATTTAGTTTGGGTGGTGAGAGGATGAGGTATGTGGAAAAGGATGGGGTTTTGGGAGAGGTTTTGGTGTGGGTGGTTGAGAGGATGAGGTATGTTGGGAAGGAGTAGGAGGAATATAAGGTGGTAAAGCAACTTAAACTGCAGTGTATCTATGACTAGGAAAGGAATAAGGACATTATTCAAGGAAAAAAGAGGTGGCTGTTGGAGAAGGAGGAGAATAATCCAGGGGATGAGAAAGGGGGACTGGGGAGGCTGGTGAAGTATCGGGAAGAATGTCTGGAGAAGGATACTGTTGTGATAGACAATTCGTGAGAGTATTCAAGTGGGAGCAGTAGAGAGGGTGGGAATGTGGGGGGAGGGGGGGGGGAATTTGAGGAGGAGGAGGGTGGATATCTGCAAATATTTCAAATGTAGGAGTAGGAACAGAGGGATTAGGGGGTGGATGAGGAGCGGAGTGTTCCCTTGGGTCATCTTTTGGAAGTTTTGGATGTCTTCAAGGGTTTCTGGAGGGGAGTTGGGTGAACAGGACTGAGAAACAAATGTTCTCTTATGAGGAGAAGAGGTTATAGATATCTGAAGAACAGAAGAAGAGGGTGGAGTGGAACATTTAGGTTGCCTGGCAGTACAAATAATGTGAGGAGGGGTAGGTATCGGGGAAGTGGTAGAGATTGGAGTATATGGATTTAGAATGGAAAATTAATTTAACTGGGGGATAGAATGTGTAGACGTAGGATGGTTTACGGTATATGGGAGGGATACTTGGGGAGATGTAGAAATATCTTGTGAAGATGGTGGGGGAGCAGAGCGAAGGAGTTTTGGAATAAGTAAAAAAAAAAAAAAAAAAAAAAAACTTGTTATACTAAATTTATAATAATCTGTTGCATGATTTCAGTCCAGTTAAATAATTATAGTTACTTTGATATTGAAAATTCTATACTAATGTACTACATGAGAACAAACCCAATGTTGTGAAATATTTAGTGCTTAATAAGTGAATACATATTTCTGCATACATTTTTGTACCATGATCAGTTTTCTACAAATTCTAATTTAGTCCACACGAATAACTTCTCTTTTGGTTAGTAAAAGATGCTCTGAAGTAATGTTTTATTCCACGTAAAAGACTAAAAGAGATTTTTTTTTCATTTTTTCATTCCACATAAAAGACTAAAAAGGGATGATTTTATTCTTTATTTTAATGGATATGAGTCAGTAAGACGTGTATTACATAATGACAATGTTACAAAATCTCATTAACGTTATAATACCTTGACACGTGAGATTCATTACAAAACTGATTGTGACTTCTCGATGGACTAGCATAGTATGGATGTGTTCACACTTGTACACTATTGCAAACTCACTCACAAAGATACTCATACACTCTACCTTGATATAAGCACATTTGCAAGTGTGTCTGCATGAGCACAAGTATATGTACATGTATGTGTGTGGATGTATGTATAGGCATGGACATTTATACTCACAAATGAAAGTGTGTATATATACACATGCACACCCACACAAACACACTAAATTCTGACTGGCAGTTAGGTTTGTCACAGCACATGCTGATTGTTCAAGCATGCCAACTAATGAACTCAAAACTCAGTGAGAAAAAAATTAATTTAGAACACATCCTTTCACTACAAACTGAATTTCCCCAAAATACAATATCACAACAAGCATACAATACTCTTCATAGATACATGTATCTTTATTCAGTCATTCAAATGATCTTTTTTTTATATATCTATATCAATTATATAATTTGGCTAACTAGCTATGGACAAATTACCTACCATGTACACAATCTAACAAGAAATAAATTTGTTCGGGGTATGACATTCATTAACCATGTCACTTTACTTCCAAGATGAGTATGTTTATTCCAGCCAGCTAAATAAAAAATCATGAACAGTGTTCCTAATGGCATCTGCCTTCATTTTACTCATTATTTTTGTTGCTTTTCGGCAATATCCCCACACTATGTAATTTGGTACAATAAAGCAAAAGATGATGAGAATTTGAATTCATTCTACTTCCATATCTTATACCAAGATCTTACATCAATTGTATTGGAAACACTAAATACTTGTTTTTCTTTTTCCTTTCAATATTCTTGTCAATCACAAGGTTAACATCAGCGCTTGAATAATATCAGGAGGCAATGTACATAAATACATTTCATTTGATCTGATGTCATTCCACAAAATCAAAATATATATGAATCAAAATATATATAAAAATATCATGCTGCCATTCTACTTTCATATGTCTTAATAATCAGTCTTCTCTTTCTCATCAGATTCAACAGATTATCTATCTTATAACTTCTTTAGTCTCTCTGTATTCTGAGTGGTGAGAGTCTTTTTCACTTACATATTAAGTTTCCAAAACAAGCATTATGTACCAACACAATGGCACAACCATAATAATCTCACATACCAATACTTTGCCTGAGTATCTGTGGAAAACGATAAAACTCTCAGCTGCCCGACTGCAGACAATCTATTATACACTGAATAATCTCTGTTATTATTGTTTTTTTATTTTTTTTGCTTTTCTGTACAGCTGTGTATTTACAGTACCCTGGACACCTACACACTACAAAGGAAGGGGAGAGAGGAGATGTGGGGACTGAGGGGTTGAAGGTCAATGGGGAGGTGGGTGAAAGGTAGGGTGGTTACAAGATTTCGCACACGCTCACGAATGAATGTGTTCATGAAACCAACAGACGCACCGCAGAACCGTAGGACCGTGTGATTGTGCGTTTCCACAGGATGCAAGCAACTAAGACCTACAAGAAGCAGAAGGAAGTGCCTGCTTGGTAAAGGTATCCTAACTGCACCTGACCAGTCGAGCCACAGTGTCTCTATCACAATTGTCTGTGAAAGAAGAAATTCAAATTTACAAAATATTCTTCTTTTTCTTCATTAAAATGGTGGGCTTCATTCCATCCAGCTCAATAGTACCATTAAGAAAATGTTACTAAATATTGTACATACAGAAACACAATACTACTGTGTTTAAAGGCATGGAAGTTTAATTTTATTTTCCTCCTTTTTAATATTTTTTAGTTCATTTTTTCCACTTCCTTTTGAATCAACACTATTCTACAATCTTTTTTATCATTATTATACTATTTTATGACATCTATTATACTGGAAAGACAATCACTGTTTGTTAGTTTATATCTTATCCTTCATCTTCCAAGGAAGTTCAGTATTATTGTCCAGTGCGACATCGAGCACTCTGACTTTCCAAACGACACTGAATTACAATTTCTTTGTCTTCGTTTTCCCTTCATTTTTTCAATCTTCATGGGAAAATATGATTGCACAGCCCAGAATCTCTCAGAAGCTTGGATCAAATAGCTATGACACTCTACTGTCACTTCTGCATTGTGAGTGCATGAAAACCGATTGACCAACCAAAACAACGCACACGCTTATGACTACACACTAAGCTTCATCCTGAGTCACACATCCATGTTCTTGCTCTGTGTCTGGATGATGAACGGCTCACTCCACATTCTCCGCAAGTCACCCTGGGAAAATATGAAATATGAATATCAGATATGTAAGTTTCATTCCAGATTTAGAGTAATGCCTTTTTTTCTTGAAGTTCAAAATATCCATTATTGGAAATGTTCAAATTAGAACGATTGGATAAGTAATAACGTATCAAAGTTTACCCAATAAACATTTATTTTGTATTGTGTGCACATAAGGATCTAAACTTTGTCATGATTTAAAGATTACATATAGAACAATAAGCACACCAATAAGTTGGGATCTGTGATAGTTCAAAAAAATAAAAACGAAAACAATACACAAAAATGAGATTGAAGTGGCAAGACAACTCATACCTTGAGGTAAGCCATGGTGAGCAGGGGCAACAGCGTGAAGGGCACGAGGTAGAGCAGGGCTGGCTGGGCAGCCTTGAAAACTTCTGATGAAACCGTTGCCGTCAGCAGGCCGAGGAAGTAGCCAATGAGGGAGCAGTGGAAGTAGCTGTACAGAAACAAAAGGAAATATTAGTAAGGAGTGGGAGGGTGGGTGGAGAGAGGGGAGGAGGGTTCTGGCTCACTGGGAGTGAAAATCAATAATGTCATACTTCAATTGTTTTGTTCATCATTTTCTTTTTTCAATTTCATAAGTTTGTCATTCTCTTCAAAACATACCTTATTTTATTCAAATTAGAAGGTGGTGGTACACCTGCTTCTGCCGATAAGAGCTGAGCCTTCTTGTAGGCATCATATCGGAGCACAAAACACAACAGGAGGCCTGGCATTACCTGCAAATATCACATATCAGCATCAGCAAAAGGATATAATTCTGCATAAAATTGTATAATATATATCTAGATACCCTTGTATCTATTGCGGTAACCCAGTGGTTCTCAACCTGTGTGCTGCAGCGCAGAAGTGTGCCACGACAATCCCTCAAGTGCACTGCGAAAATTAAAAATCTAATGGATTTCTAGATATGGTTTGAATTTGTGCCTTTCCATCATATATATGATAATAAAACTAAACAACAATAATAATATTGGTAATAATAATAATGATAATAATATCGTGTATTATTATTATTATTATTATTATTATTATTATTATTATTATTACTGTATTACTCCACTATTGCAATAATAACACACGTGCAAACATACTTGTAGTAATATTATGGCTAGACCTAGTCCTAATCTGTACCTTTGTGTTAGAGGAATATGTAGCAAGCTTATCCATACAGAACATTCACTGTATAGTTAGTGCGTCGCCAAAGTCCAGGCTATATCATTAGTGCGCCATCGAAGTCTAGGCAATATCACTAGTGCACCACTAAGCAATAAAGGTTGAGAACCTCTGTGTTAACCTAACAAAATGGTAGCAATACAAGACAAAACCCCAATTGAAATTAAAACTTCTTGGTCCCAGGATTCCAAAAAGAACATCCAATAACTCCAGGCCACATCCGAGAGTTCCAGCCAAGCACTCACGATGTCCCCGAGGCCCAGCATTGAGAAGTGGCCAGTGTTGTGCATTGATGGGAAGACCAATTTGCCAGGCAGAGAGAGCTTGGGGGCCTCGCGTCCCACACTGCCCAGGTGGAGCTTGCGGGCCATCACTCCCACAGGATTCTCTGCTGGGCGAGTTGCAACCTAAGGGGTGAGGAGAGAGGTTGATTGGAAATGCTGCAGCTGCAGGAGAGACTGGTCAGCTTATCAGCTAGTAAAGGTTTTTTTCATAATACAATAATTATTTAATTTCACCTTAGCTGTTTATCATTTTACTAAATGCAGCAGGTAATAAGGATAACATTAAATAACACACACAAGTAAAAATATCTATATAATTCTCTGATATTAGAGTAGAAATTATAAAGAGGACTCGAAGTACTTAAAGTCAATAGAAAGTCTAAACAAGCCTCAATCCTCCTTTCTTTAACGCACCTTCACCATGACGTTAGCGTTGAACACATACGAGGAAAAGAACACCCAGAAAACGTCATACACCAGAAGTCCAGTCAGGAGCAGTGTGGACACTTTGAGGCTAGGTAGCCGCACAAATGCAATGAAGGCAACACACAGCCCCATTCCCATTGCTGTGATTGAGCAAGAGGATGGTTGTAAGTCGAGGAATATTTCTCTTTCTGATATGTGCAAAGATAATCATATATCCTTTACCACACAAAAATCACAAGATTAATCAGCAAATTTTTCTCATTTAGAATTTACACTCTGTTACCTACATAGGCTCACTCTCAAATCAGTCTACAATCACAAATACACACACACACTTACCATCCATGAGGAGCCAGTGACCCGTCATGACCCAAATGCAAACAATGGACACAGATAGGCAGAAGGCCATGATCTCCGCTCCTGTAAACCTCCCGCAAACACCAAACGATATTCTGTCAAAAGAGTGCAATTATCAGTAGAGTCTGAGTATAAGCTAATTATATTTACAAACCCTAATTTTTTCCATTAATATATTTTATTGTCTCTTTCTTTTACTTATTGAGCTTGTGAATCCAAATGCAAATTTAAATGCAATTCTGGTAAATCATAATACAGAGCAATAAAAATGACATTGCAACTAAATAACAACTTCCAAATTAATACAGACTATACTATATTCAAAATTCAACCAAAATTCAATTCAGTCATTCCTCAAAGCTTGTTAAATCATATCCAACCTACTTTTTGTTATCAGAACACGGTCTGATGATGTACTGACACATAGGCAGCAAAAGGAATGCTAGTGCCACAGTAGCTATAACTGGAAACAAAGGTAAAATGAGTATATAATTATGTAAATGACTTTCTTGCACCATTGATTCCTACAATATTGCAAATTTAGTATTGTCAGAACTACTGATATGCTTTACCTCTAATTTTACACTCCATCATCTTATCTTTCCAAAGCTGATATCAGTTACAATCAAACCAAATCAATCAAAATCAATACATTAACTGCAATTCAAGAAAACTACTGATCTCTCATCTTGAACCATAAGTGGTTAGAAGTATAATGTTACACCAAGGATTTGAGCTTGAATCTTTATCTCTGGCACACAAGTCATATAAAAGCTTCTACCAAGATATACTGTATATATATATATATATCCATATACAGAAAGAGTGGACACTGTACCTATACTTATATTTAAATATCTGTTTAGTGACCTATCAACCCATGTAGATAGGTATGTATGTATATATGTATGTATGTATGTATGTATGTATGTATGTATGTATGTATGTATGTATGTATGTATGTATGTATGTATGTATGTATGTATGTATGTATGTATGTATGTATGTATGTATGTATGTATGTATGTATGTGTGTATATATATATATATATATATATATATATATATATATATATATATATATATATATATATATATATATATATGTATGTATGTATGTATGTATGTATGTATGTATGTATGTATGTATGTATGTATGTATGTATGTATGTATGTATGTATGTATGTATGTATGTATGTATGTATGTATGTATGTATGTATGTATGTATGTATGTATGTATGTATGTATGCATGTATGTATGTATATATGTATGTATGTATGTATTTATGTATGTGTACATGCCTGTATGTATGTATATATTTATGTATATGTACATGTAGCTATGTGCCTATCTATCCATCAGCTGATTAATCTATATATCTACCTCTAAACATCCATCCATCTACAGTGTAAAACAAAGCAAAGGAATCTGGACTCACTTGCAGTACAGACAGCAAAGAGCATCTGCATGGAGTCAAAGAAGAAGAACATGATGAGGAGGGACACAGATGCCCCTACAGGCAAACACAATGCCTGCATCATGTCCAGCGTCTGCACATCTGTAGAGAACAGATTAGCTAAAAGCCAAGCACATCTGCATTAGAGAAAATCCTGGTATTCGCATCTCAAGACAGCTACTTTTTTTTTTTTTTTTACTAGAATTTATTAAAGGACAGTTATAATCACACATCTTGCATTAATATGACAATGATCTAATTCACATTTACAATATCAGAAAAATATAGAACAGACCAAACACAACAACCTGCTTGAGAATTCAAATCATATAATCGTATCATATAATCATATCATACAAAAGTAATATTCATAACTAGAATTACTAAGGAACCCCCTTTGTACGTACTGTTGTCGTTGGAGGAAGCTGGAGTGGCGATTCCAAGTAATTTGTTCCTCTCCTTTTCTGACTCCCTTTCTCTGGCCTCTTGTTCTAAGTTCAGTGATCTGTAATTCATGAAGAGTGCTGACTTTAGTATATATTACTCACAATTATTAATATCTATTAATTTCTACTAAGGAGGATTAAATGCCTTCTTTCCAAATCAAGAAAGCTACATTGTTAAGAGAGCAGCAAGAATGAAACAGAATGATCACACAGGCAAAAATATTTACTATAAAAGAAAAGAATGATCGTATATGAGAGATGAGCATGTGTCCAGAACACCAAACATGTACACAGAAGGTTGTTTCAACAGCTTAGGTACTGGTACGTGCAAAACAATAGGGAGAAAGTAATGGGATCCATAATGTAGGACAAGGAATCGCATACAAGAAACCATTTCAATCTCCCCTGACAATAGTGTTCTATAGTTCCTCACATCCATATTCTAATAAGAGAAAATCTTGCATTTCCAACTGCAGTTGCTTTTAATGAACACACAAAGAAAATCACACCTTAGCTCTTAAATAACTAAATAGGGAAAGTGTTATTCTCAGGTACAAATGCACCCTAGAAGAACAAAGGCAAGGTGGAGAGCAGGAGGGGAAGGGGGAGGGGGAGATGGGGGGGAGAGGGAGAGAGGAAGAGAGGAGAGAGAAGAGGGGAGAGAGGGAGAGGGAGAGGGAGAGGGAGAGGGAGAGGGAGAGAGAGGGACAGAGAGAAGGAGAGAGGGGGAGAGAGGGGGGGGAGAGGGGGGGAGAGGGGGGAGAGAGAGGAGAGAGAGAGAGAGAGAGAGAGAGAGAGAGAGAGAGAGAGAGAGAGAGAGAGAGAGAAGAGAGAGAGAGAGAGAGAGAGAGAGAGAGAGAAGAGAGAGAGAGAGAGAGAGAGAGAGAGAGAGAGAGAGAGAGAGAGAGAGAGAGAGAGAGAGAGAGAGAGAGAGAGAGAGAGAGAGAGAGAGAGAGAGAGAGAGAGAGAGGGAGAGAGAGAGAGAGGAGAGAGAGGGAGAGAGAGGGAGAGAGAGGAGAGGGAGAGAGAGGGAGAGAAGGGGAGAGGAGAGGGAGAGAGAGGGGAGAGAGGGAGAAGAGGGAGAGAGGAGAGAGAGAGAGAGAGAGAGAGAGAGGAAGAGAGAGAAGAGAGAGAGAGAGAGAGAGAGAGAGAGAGAGAGAGAGAGAGAGAGAGAGAGAGAATATTCCTGTTAAAACCTTCCAAAGTAGAACATTTCAAGCTGAAATACATATTAAGGAACACAAAAAAGTTTCCCCATCCTGCACTCACATGTAGCTCTAAATTTTCCTCTCAGGGTTAAAGCTGCTTAAAAAAACGCTTTCACGAAGAAACCAGTTAAAACAACCCATCTCACATACAACAACATTCTGACACCTGGTACTTCATTATGATCATTCAAATGTCTTAACTTTCATTTTGGAAGCTGATTTTCATTTAGCTCTCTTATAATAATGCCTAAACACACTCTCAAATTTCGAAATACATAAAATAAAATAAATTATGTACTTCTATATTTTCACATGCCTGCTTGAATTTTATCTCTGGCACACAAGCCACTCTCTCTCTCTTCTTTATTTTCCCTTTTTCTTCTTTCCTTTCCACCAACCCCCTGCCCTCTGTCTCTGTCTGTCTGACCTCCTCCTCCCTCCTCTCCCCTCCTGTCTCTCTCTCTCCTCTCTCCTTCTCTCCTCTTCTCTCTCTTCTCTCTCTCTCTCTCTCTCTCTCTCTCTCTCTCTCTTCTCTCTCTCTCTCTCTCTCTCTCTTTCTCTCTCTCTCTCTTCTCTTCTCTCTCTCTCTTCTCTCTCTCTCTCCTCTCTCTCTCTCTCTCTCTCTCTCTCTCTTCTCTCTTCGTTCTCTCTCTCTCTCTCTTTGTCTCTCTCTCTCTCTCTGTCTTTCTAGTCAGTCTTTCTAGTCCCCTCTACCTCGTCTTTCTAGTCCCCTCTCTTCCTTACTGTCTTCCCTCATCTCCCCCTTTCTTCAGAGTCGCTGCCTTCATACTAGAATTTAAAAAAAAATCCCCCAGACGTGGCAGCGATCGCAACCCCCGCACTGAACCCTCTATCACCAGCCACCTCAACCCCGCCTCGATAGAATTTCCTACTCGCCCTTTCCCCTCAATGCCTCGTGGTTATGGTGCGCTGATGCTCTGCTTTGCATGCCGTGTGCTACAAGGTCAGGGGTGTTCTCCGCGGCGCTCGTTCCTGGAACTAGTGCCCGCGCCAAGGTCTTAGGTGTGAGGTCTTCCCTGTGCTGGCTGATGAGGAGCGCACGCGGGCATGCACATACGCACAAACGCTAGCATAAATGCTTACGAAGTCTATATAAGTACTTATATAGACCTTGCATGCTTATGCGCTCACGTTCACACGCAAACACACACACAAAAGAGAAAAGAAAGAGAGAGAGAGAGAACACATGAGAAAATAAGAAAGAGAGAAGATACTTCAACAAGAGCGCAAAAGACAACAATATCCACCACCAAGAGAGAGAGAGATCCAGGTCAACTCTCGTAGTGTCACCCCCCCCCCTTCGCCTCCCGCCCCCCTCTCTACTAGCGCCCGGTCCTCTACAGACTTTCCCATCCAGACTACGAGAACCCGAGAGAGACGGAGAGCGTGAAAGAGAGAGAGAGAGAGAGAGAGAGAGAGAGAGAGAGAGAGGAGAGAGAGGAGAGAGAGAGAGAGAGAGAGAGAGAGAGAGAGAGAGAGAGAGAGAGAGAGAGAGAGAGAGAAGAAAGAGAGAAAGAGAGAAAGAGAAGAGAGAGAAGAGAAGAGAGAAAGAGAGAGACAGAGAGATGAATAACGGGTTAGAAAGCCGAGGTGGGGAAGATGGAAGGAGGGAGGGGATGGGGAGAAGGAAGGAGGGAGAGGATGCGGAGAAGGAAGGAAGGAGGGGAAGGGGAAAAAAAGAGAGAGAGACGGATGAGGGGGATACAGAGGGAGTGGTAAAGTGAGGGAGGGGAAAAGAAAGGAGGAGGAGGTAAGAGTAAACATGGAGAGAGAGAGAAATAAAGAACGGGGTAGGGAGGGAAGGAGAATTAGGAGGAAAATAAGGAGGAGGAGAAGGAGAAGAAGGATAACAAGAAGAAGAAAAATAAGGAAGAGAGGAAGAATATGAAGATGGAGAAGAGATAATAATAAATAAGAAAAGAATGAGAATAAGACGAAAAGAAGAAAAAAACGAACTGGGGGAAGGGGAAGAGATGAGGGAATGTGAGATATCTAAAAAGTGGATCATCTGATAGGCAGTCTTACTTGAATATAAAATAATTTCAATAAAAACGACGAAAATGCGGCGTAAGGAGAGAGGAGGAAGACAACCAAGACGATCTCGGAAAAAAGAAAAAAAAGGGAAAAAGAAAAGAGAGATAACAGTGAAGAACGTGAAGAAGAAGAAGAAGAAGAAGAGGAAAAGGTGGAACATTACGAAACACCAAAAACAGGTAAGAATTCCCTCTCCTTCTCCCTCCAACCATCTCTTTCTTTCTTATTTCTCTGTCCCTTGCCCATCCCCTCCATCTCTGCTTACCACCCCCTTCCTTCCCCTCTATCCTTTTCTTCCCTTCCTCTTTTACCAACCACAGCTTCTCCTTCCCCTTCCCCTCATCCCCTTCCCCTCATCCCCTTTCCCCCCTCGTCATGTGCCCCCATGACGAGGGGGAAAAATGAAAAAAATTGGTCTTTCTGTCGCCAGCGGTGTGATGTGACACCGCCCCCTCCCTCTCCCTTCCCCCTACCCTCTACCCCCTACCGCCTCCCCCTCCTATACAAAAAAGCCATACTCCGATTTCACTTTTTTATATATACAAAAAACAACAATAAAAACAACGCCCGTAGATACTGCATGCACTTCCTCCTCTTCTTTCTCCCTCCGGCCGTTCGTGTCTCTGTGTGTATGTGTGCTTCTTTCTGTTTATCTGTTACTCTATATAAGCCCATTTATCTATCTATCTATTCATCTTACATTCCTATTGACACACACACACACACACACACACACACACACACACACACACACACACACACACACACACACACACACACACACACACACACACACACACACATATACAAACCCCCCTCCACCCCCTCCCATAGAAATCCAAGAACTAAAAAGAGACACCGCCCCCCCCGTCACCACCCCCTCCACCCACCGCGCCCCGCCCCCTTTTCTCCTCCAGTGGCGTGGTTTCCTCCTCCGCCTCGGCTCACGGCGGGAGAAAGTTCTCTTCCAAGCGAGACGAAGGAGAGGGAAGGGAGGGAGGGGAAGGGTGATGGGGAGGGAGGGGATGGGGTGATGGGGAAGGAGGGGGAGGGGTGGGGGGGGGGAGGAGGGGAAGGGATGGAAGGGAGGGAGTGGAAGGGGTGATGGGAAGGGAGGGGAGGGGTTGGGGAAGAGAGGGGAGGGTGATGGGAGAGAGGAAAGGGTTGATATAGGGAAGGGAGGGGAAGGCACGGGGAAGGGAAGGGGTGATGGAAAAGGGAGGGAAGGGTGATGGGAACATGGGTGGGGAGGAGGGTGATACCGGGGAGATGGGGGGGGGGGCAGAGAGGAAAGATACTAGGGGAAGGGGAGGGGACGGGGAGGTGGGAGAGAGGGTCAAGACAGCGAGTCACGCCATTACACCTACGCACCTGTCTTTTCAATATGTCGCCCAATCTACATACTTCCCTCTGACAAAAAGACACGCGACAAGCAGACAGACACAAAAGACACTAAAAAAAGAACCCACTTGCCTCCCCGTGTTCCTCTCCGACCTCATCCCAAGGTATGTGACCTAGATCAACACACACACACACAAACACACGGAGGACGAGGTCAACCGGTGACCCCTCTCTCCTCCTTCCCCCTTCCCTCCTGCCCCCACCCCTCCACCTTCCCCAACGTCTCCCCACCACATCCACCACGGCTCCCCTACCCCCTAACCTCACCTCCGCCCATCCCCCAAAAACCCTCGACCCCCCCCCACCTCCTGCACCCCTAAGGACGGCAGGATGTTTGGTCAAGAACCTTCCACTGTCTGCGGCTCAGTCCTTACGTGCTGATCTTCACTTCCTTC